AATATTAAATTAAAGGGTACGAGATGATGATGTTTCCAGAATGCAAAAAACTATAAAAACAAGGTGAAAGCTTATTATTCAGCATACAATCTTCTTGTAAAAATCATTGTCAGCTTTCTTCCCATTCCATGTTCCTCGTTGCCTCCCTTCCTTCTGTTTACACACATTATAAAAACCAAAAGCATCATGAAACTGAATATCTTCCAAGTCCAAACTAAATGGACAGCTCGTACCTGAAGCAAATTCATTATCTCCATGCCCGACCTAGACTCTTTCTTCTTCTCCATTAAAACTTGGTTTAGTCTCTCCTGCAAATACAAAATACCAGCCCTTCATTTCCAAAATCTGATAAACTGTGAAATCATTCAATCAAGAATCGGTAAAGTTCCTATGATGCAAGAGCACCAATTCCCTTCTTATCGAACTATAGAAAAGCAAAGATATCTCACCTGCAATTTTATGTATTCCTTTTCCTTCTTCTTCATCTCATGCAGTTGTTGAGTCTTTACTTGCTTTAACACCATTCAATGGTCAGATTGACAAGAGTCAGAGGCTTATCCATTTTGAAGTAGGGTCATCCAAACAAGACGCCACAATAAGCAAAGTAGATCAAATTCTAACCTGATTACCAATAACCATTCTCTGAAACTCGTCCCTCTCCTGCTGCAGCTTCTCAATTTGAGCCTTCAAAGCTGCCGTGTTTTTAGCTTCCTATACCACAGGAACTCAACCCCAATTAAAATAAAACAATAAATAAACAAATAAATTCGGGTGGCATCGGCACACAAATAAGGAAATTGTTTTCCGCTTGCACAATAGAGACACGCCTCTGAACATTTCATTTAAGCAAGACAATAATATGCTTTACGTTTGTCAAAACCAAAATCCAAGCATCTCCTTACTGTTCTAGTAATAGTCGCTATCTCCCTGTCTTTGACTTGTAGTTGACCTTCGAGCCTCTCCACTTTGGCTTCTAACCTCGAGATGTCAGACAACAGTCTACAACAACAGCAAAGGCAAAACATATTGAACTCGTTCAGATAATGCATCATGAGGGAAACACTAAACAATGGTTCATACAGGAATTACCGTTGTCTTTGATCATTAGCAGACTCTCTAAATTCGACATCGCGCTGTCTCTGTTGGAGCAGAAAGTAAATGCAATTGCAAGTCCTCGCAATGGAAACCTACCACATTTTTCAAAACAACACCATTCACATAACACACGAACACACATTGGCGCAAAAAACGACGTTAAGTGAAGATCCGTTAAATTCTCACGGGGTCATTTGCGAAGAGATCGAGCGAAGCAGGGAATCCGAACGTGACGAGCGATTGGTTGAGATACTTAGCGCAATGCTCCAAATTCTCGACATCGGCGAACGTGTACTCTCTGAAACAAAGAAAGGAAAACGAAAACCCTCCGAATGGATTACAGTGGAAGAAAAATTGAAGAGCATAGGGTTTTCTGAAGTTCTAAACTAACCCGGCAGCGAAGGCAGATTGAGACGGATGCTGCAGAGAAAAGAGAGTGTGTGAGAGAAATAGAGACGAACAAAAACGTAAATAGGGATTCTCGGAGTTTTACCCTAAGATCGAAGTCTCCTTCAGTGGGAGGCATTGTTGTTAGAGTGAGAAAGAAGTGTTTCTGGGCTCTGCGTGTGACTCGAGTGAGAGTAGTATCAGTTTTAGATCTAAATTCTGAGATTTTAAGCGGTGCCCAAATTTGAAGTGGAATCAATCAATAAAGCGGTTGCTATGGTTGGGGATGCTGAATTCTGAATTATGACTATGTCTCCGAATTATACTCTGTACTCGGATCTGGATATTTGTTTCTATACCCTCCAATTAAACCCTCACAGCTGGCTTCACCTGCACTTTTTCTTTGAAAGATTAGTGACGTGGCGGTTCTTGATTGGGTAGAAAGATGCAAGGTGGCAATCGCGAACTTTATTTTTGGTTGTGAATTATGGCGCCTAACTAGAGAATCGTTTTGACTCTGGATTTTGGGTTTGGGAGAAATGAAGTGAAAGCAAACATCTCTTGAATTAGACGTGCAGGTTTTTGTTTTCCATTTTCGTTGGTTGAGATGCGACTTTCATCTCATAATCAATGTTTATGGGATACATTTTTGGGGTTATATATACTTCTCCGTTCATAATCAATGTCCATTGTTTTGTTATGTCCCAACGCACTTAACTCCTCCAGCTACGTCTTTTCTTTTTTTATTCATCCATCTCATTAAAATGTTGGCAATAATCTATATTTGCTTCATTACACTTACCATGAGTCCCTACAAAATCATTGTGCTAGGTCATTAGTTGTTCTTTTTTAATCACAGTAGTAATATGTTACAGATATTGTGCTGAGATAAGAAATTTTTTGTTACATTCAGGATATGTAGAATGTCAAGACACATTTAGTGTATTGATCAAGTAGTGTTTTGGACTTTGGTTGATGAAATTACATTTACTTGCGAATAATAATGTTATTAATATATAATCTTTGTTATTTAAAAAATAAACTCACTTCTTTCTTTCTAACATTGGCACGACATTAAAAAGGTAATTAATCTATCAATTTCGATACAATGATTATAAAAAATTAAATATAAATAAAGCTCCCTCTTTAAACCACCTACTAAACATTATTCTTTAATTAATGGCCATTCAACTTTGTGTTTAATGTGTTTTTGTTTTCTTGAATTGGTTTACGGTGAATTAAGAAAATAAAAATATCTACGAACTGGGATTTTTTTTTTCAAGTAGGTGGCAACATTTAATTAAATGGTGACGTTTTAAAATAAATCATTCAGGTAAATTTCTTTTATATGCAAAACTTTTTTTTTTTTTTAGAATGTGGTGTCTACTTTCTCTTTTTATGAATTATTGATATCAAAATGATGATATATCTTAATGAGATGTAGACAGATATGGACAGAAGTAACATGATAAACCGATCTAAGACATAAAAACGTCTAAGGACAAGGGATCAACAGCACAACCTCAAATAAGTGGCATTCATGAATCCTTACCAAGATTAAGCAAAACCACGATGCTGATTGCGTAAGAATTGGTCCATAATTATTTATTATAATGCTTTATAATGTCTTGTGTCGAATGAATGTCATTTTTTCTGCTATATTTACTGATTTTAAAATATAAAATACATATTTTTAAGTCAAAAAGACTAAAAGAAAAATATTTTATATTGTGTTAGAGGAATTGTTTTGTTGAAAAGTATTGCACTGACTTCACTTCCATATTGGAAAAAATATATAAAATTATAACATCTCATTTTTAATAATATTTAATTACTAATGTAGTCATCACATTCAATATAAAAACAAGTTAATTGAACAAAATATATTAAATATTACAACAATTATTCTAAATATAACTATAATATCAAATATATATAAAAGATTTCATACAGAAGTAATATTACACTTATTAATAAAACTGAACAAAATATTTCAAAAATTGATATAAATGGAAAAACAGATATTATATTTTTTCAACATCATCCTCGTCCTACATTAGATCTACTAGAACATTCTCATGTGCTCATATTATCAAAGCGATAATTGCAAACAAGAAAGACAAATATATAAACAAATAGAGATAAAAAAGTAAGCTAATATATCAAAAAAAACATTTATATAACATTTATAAAGATTAATATTAATCAATCTTAAAATATACGATTATTCATTAAAAACTTCTTCATCAAGATACATATATTAATATAAGACTCTAACGAACTATGCAGTTCTGGGGACTTTTGTTTTTCCGAAGAACCATTGCCTTGTGTTTTACCTTACCATATACAATATTAGTTCGTTAATATTTTTGGTCAAAATAAAACCCTTAGACTACAACATCTTGCTCCTTTCACCACATATCTCACATTTCTTTACATATACATAATTCATACATCAATACATATACCGTTAGAACCATTACAATAAACTTCTCATTGAAATTCCTTTCACATAATTACCAAATATACCCATCAACATGTTATAAATCCAAGAACATCACATTATAAACACAATTAAAAACACAAATAAAATCACTTCATGACAAAATAAAGAATTGGAAATTAACAAAAATTTACGCTAACGTAGAGTGATGCTCAAGACAAAAATTCACAAAAACACACACTAAAATGTTGGAAGTATTAATTTTAACATTTTAAAAAGTACTATAATTAGCAACTAATGAATAAACTACCATACTGGTCATTAAAATGAATGTTCTACAGTTATTAAAAATAAATAAAAATCAGTAGTTTGTTAGATGGAATTAAATGTCATTCACATCCAACCAAAAACATTAGAAACATTAAATATATTTATGTAAGATGTTAAGTCTTCTCGCATTAGAAATATTAAATATAATTATATAAGATGTTAAGTCAGTTCACATGTTGCTTTTCATGGAGAGACTTACAGATTTGTTGTGGTGTTCATAATAGATATGTTGCAACTCCGAGAATTTGTTTTGGATATATAAGTTAAATAAACAAGTGCAAGTTTTTTTTTCTAATCTTTTTTCTTCTTGAGATTATGCATATTATCCTCGAATACCTTAATCACTTATCAACATTATAAAGAAATGTCTATGCTCTTTCTAAGAGTCTTTTTGAGAGTATATACACACCTTTCTAAAAACAATAAACTAAATATAGTTTAAACAAGTGCAGTGATGATTGCATAATATAATTAATATACACACACTTTCATACTGACAAAATTAAATATTATGACAAAACGTGCTTATTAAAGGGGAAGACACGTTCTTAATAATCATTTGTATTATTTTATATCCAATGTTGAATTATTTGAATTATTTAATTTTTAATGTGCTGTATTTTTCTTCTAGTGTTGACTTACTTTGATTGTTTGAGATTTTCACGCCATATTATCAATATAGTCAATTATTAAAATTGCAAAAGAAATAAAAAAATAAACGCTTACTTAATTAAGTAATATTTCATCAAACTGAGCTATTAAACTCACAATAATCATTACATTATTTGATAAAAATTAAGATTAAATCCAAAATTCAAAATATATATTAACAATACAATGAAATTGACAGCAAACCACACTACAGAAACTAATTTCTATCAAAGGAGCTCTTTTAAGAAAAAAAACAACAACACGAAGAGGGTAAAATAGACCGGTGTAAATAGCAAAGTTATTGAGTAAGCTAGGCCCCATAAAGAAAAACAGTGATTGAGTGAGAGGGTGTTACTCCCTCCACCCCCACACGTCTCTTCCTCCACCTCCCCAATTTTCTAAAATGCCAATTATATCCTTCTAAAATGACAATTATATCCTCAAAAGTTAAAATTTTTTATTTTTATTATTTTAATATTTTAATTTATTTAAAACTTCTGATTAATTTCCCTCTGTACCTCTTCCTCTCTTCCATTTTCGTTTACCTTTCTCTCTTCCATTAAGCTTCTTCTCCACTTATAACAAATTCATATTTTAACAAATTCATATTTTAACAAATTCATATTTTAACAAAATTATTACGTTTAAAAACTAACCATATATAACATTTAAAATTATAAATTTAAATATAAATTACTGTAAATAAAATAAACAAATAAAATAAAAACGAAACGTAAAAGGAACACTGCCTCTGGACGGATGACATCCTTCAACGGATGTCAACATCCGTTGAAGGCAAAACGGATGTCGACATCCGTTTTGCCTTAAACGGATGTCGACATCCGTT